AAATTCAGAACAAAGTGCTAAAGTTCTGATGTATTTTGCACTAACCATATAGATCTTTGGTAATGGATAAAATGGGGAAAATTATTAATTTAAGATAAGAAGCATCCTGACAGGGGCTTTCCTGTGGAGCCAGCCCTGTACCTTTCCCCACCCACTTTCCCCTAGGTGCGTTTTCCTTGCTCTTCTCTTTCTCCTAAGCTCCAAGTGCCCTTCTTTTTTAATTTGGGCCCTTATTAACTTGTTTCCTGAGCCCACACCCAGCTGGCTCGCTTCTCCTACCTCTATGACTTTCTAAATAAACTTTTGCTTATAAAAAGAAAAGGAGAAAAAAAGAAAAGAAATAACCTGTCATTTTTGAAATCTAACATTTATTTTTAAAATCACTAAATAATAAAGAGTATTTAGGGTTTCAGTGGTGGATTTTTTAAAATTGTAAGGTGTTTTTAGTGTTATGTACATAGGAACAAACATTTTCTTACTTGGTTTGACAAGCAATGAAAATAGTAATTATCACTAATTCTGGGTCTTCTAAAGAACATCTGTGTTGGGGGATTTAAAATTTTTAGTTATCTTGGTTACTTTTCTCCTAGAGAATAATATTAGCAAAATTTTGTGAGAGGATTGAAGACTTAGTTCCCATTGATTAGAACAGAGCCTGACATGGAATTATTAATGATTTTTGAATTAATGAATGAACATGTATTTCTGAATACCTTAACCATTCTGGACAGTGTCTGCAGTTTGAATTTTAATGTTATATTCTCTGCCAAGCTATTGAATACTCCACTGTTTATTCTGTTATCTAAATCAGTAATAAGGTAGCATAGATATAACTTTAAATAGCTGCTGGACTCCTATACAGCCTTTTCTTCACCTGCAGATACTGAGTCTGATAACTGCTTTTTGTATATATAGCTTTCTAATCAATTTACTACTTATCAAGCATCAAAGTAAACTTAATTATATTTACCAAGTTAAATGATGAAATGGACCAAGAGCATTACTAAAGCCTCTTTTCCACATTTTTTTCTTGTCTATTGTAGAAGGAAATGAACCTGTCAGCATTTCTGTTTTGTTTGTTTTTTAATGAAGTTTATTTCTCCTTACTTAGTACAATGATTCTCAAAGTAGAGACTGAAGACCAGCTAATTAGCATCACCTGAGAAGCAAATTCTCAGGTCCCACCCCAGGCTGATTAAATTAGAAACTCTGAGGTGGGGGCCCTGCAGTCCACCCTCCTCCTCTCTCTTTTTTTTACAGAGCAGGGTAGGGGGAGAGAAAGAGAACATCAGTGTCTGAGAGAAACATCAATTGGTTGCCTTCCATATGCACTGATTCCAGCAACTTTCTGGTGCACTGGATGACGCTCTGACCAACTGAGCAACACCAGCCAGCGCCCCTGCAATCTTTTTTAAGATTTTGATGTATGCTAAAGTTGAGAACCATTTTGAGCTCTCCCATTTAGTTTCTTATAAATTGTTGAAGATATTTTTCCCCAGATTTCTTTCCAAATGTGTACTCAACCTTGTTATTTCCAGATTTCCAGTTAATGTCTTTCCTTCCTTTTAATACCATCACCTTTATCCAATTTTCAAACATTTCAGAAAGCATAGTTATTTCTTACAGAATAGTAGATTTGGTACCCTGATAGAAACGATTTGAAATGCCAGATAGCATGGTAACTATAGTTAATAATATATTGTATACTTGAAATTTGCTGATAGAGTAGATCTTAAGTGTTCTCACCACACACACACACACACACACACAGTGGTAACTATGTAACTTGATTGTGGCAGTGATAACACAAGGGATACTTATATCAAAACACCACACTGTATATCTTAGACAAAATTCCCTAAAGCTGAACATGTGCCATATATGTATATTTCCCAGCAGTTCTACTGGAGGCTGGGTGGCGTGAGATGGGAATATATTCAATAGAAATGCATATATATATATATATAATATATATATTATTCAAAAGACATGTACAAACATGTTAATAGCAACAGTATTCATAATTAAAAACTAAAAACAACTTAAATGGGTAAATAATGGTGGTATATTCATATAATTATATACTATAAGAAGCAATGAAAACAAATGAACTATTGCCACATGCAACAACATGGATGAATCTCATAATCATAATATTGAGGGGTAGAAGTCAGACACAAAATAATACATGATGTATGACTCCACTTATATAAAATTTTCAACAACAGTCAGAACAAATCTATGGTTTCTATCTGGTGATAGAAATAAGATATTGGTTATCTGTGGTTGGGGATGAAGGTCTAGTGACTGGGGGCCAGTATGAAATGCTGATAATGTCTTTCTTGAACTGGGTGTTGGTTACCTTGGGTGTGTTCATTTTGTAGAAATTAATTGAGCCAAACATTTGCAATATATGTACTTTTCTATATGTATGTTTTTATTCAGTAAAATGTTGGTTTAAAGAAATGGTAATGTTGCTCTGGCCCAGTGGCTCAGTTGGTTGGAGCATCAGCCCATGCACCAAAAGGTTGCAGGTTCAGTTGCTGGTCAGGGCACATACCTGGGTTGTGTATGAGAGGCAACACATTGATGTTTCTCTCTCTCTCTTTCTATGCTTAATTCGCCCTACTAAATTCTTTGATAAACAGTAAAGCATATACTTAATCCAATTTTTAAAGTGAACCGTTGGACAAAATTATGCTACTTAAATTAAAAAGCTATATAATGTTGCCCAGAGGTGTCCTGGTTAAATCCCCCCAATTTTTAAAAATATGTTTTTATTGATTTCAGGGAGAGAGAGAGAGAAGTATCGATGATAGTCATTGATTGGCTGCCTTCTGCACACCCCCTACTGGGGATTGAGGTGGAAGCACCAGCATGTGCCCTGACTGGGAATGGAACTGTGACCTCCTGGTTCATAGGTTGATGCTCAACCACTGAGCCATGCCAGCTGGGCCCCCAGCTTCTATGATGAAGAGAAGCAAATTCTCTTTCTGTACTTTAAAGGCTCTCAAATAAGTAGTGGTATAATTACTTCCAGTAAAGATTTGTTGAGATTTTCATTCTTTTGAGTGCAATGAATTAATCATTTTTTAATTTCAAGTTGTTAATGAAAACATTTTACAGCCTTCAGACAGTTAAGTTCTAGTCACCCAGATTATTAAACTTTTATAAAATTGCTCATCAGTTTGTATTTTATTTTCTTCGTAGTTGCATGGCTGTAGTGGTTGGTCTTTATTATTATTTCCTGGAGGGAAGGTCAGTGTTAGAAAATTTGTGGAATTTTTCTTTGGTATTACTGTGGTAAGTAAACAGCTACTATTTATAGGGACTTATATTTTGATGAGAAAATGAGATACCCTGCTTGGCTTTACCATAAAAACACAGATGCTTCTGGATTCCAGTAGGGAGGCCTTTTGCTTGCAGCATCTGTTTTAGTTGACCAGACAGATGACTTCTAAAGATTTTTTCACTCTTTTTTTTGAAGGACACCACCTCTTTGACAAGTAAACAAGTTTATAAATGAAAAGGTTAACTTAACATTCTGTGATTTTTTATTACTTTGGCTATATCAGTTCTGTGTAATTTTGGACTATTAGATAATTAAATCATATCACTTCCTAAATAAGCTTGAAATGTCCTTTGTGTACATATTCTTTGAATTGTTTATTCTGCAGTTGAGATAGATTTGTATTGATCAATAAATTCATTTATTAAACAAATGTTTGATGAGCACTCACTGTGTGCCAGGCCCTCCACTGCCCCAGGAACCAAAAAGTAGAACAAAATATAGTCAGAGTTCTTGAAAAGCTTACTGTCTTTTATTCAGTGCAAACATGTAAACAGACAATAAAATAGAAATATAGCCAGGTGCTTCCACTTGAAGTTTATCTTATCAATTTAGTGGGGAAGGTAAGGTGCCAAGGAATGTCTTATAGAAGTATGACTGAGCTGAGAATTGTAGAATGAGTAGGAGTCGGCAGGCAAAGGCTCAGAGTTAAGGGAGAGAAATACACAATAGACCCCCCCTTATTCACTGGCAAACCCTTCAGGTGCACATATCCCACTTTAGAGACCACTGCTCTAGACACTGGGATAACCGTATGGAAACTAGCCTTTTTAAAAACAAAAGGGAAGCAATAAGTAATTTGTTTTCCTCTATAAATTTGTGTTTGAGAGACAAATTTAAGAAGAATCAGCTTTGACTTGAAGAATGGGCACTTTAGTTATAAATAGACTATAAGTGTCATATTTCACTAACTAGGAAACCTTAGAGAATGGTGGAGTGTTATTGGTTAAATACATTATATGAAGGACTGTTTTGCTAGTCACTATAGATAAAAAAGATTGTTTATTTGCTGCTTTTTAAAAATATAACCCTGTAATTATCTTTGTTGGAAGATATTTGGGAGATGGTTTTTCTCAATCTTGGGATCTCTTATAAAAAGATACTTTTCATACTACACTTTATCAAACTTGTAGAATTTACTTCATTGTGTTTGAAATCAGTTAAAATTCTTCTCTTTGAAGAGATGGAAAACCAACTCAAGTACGCTTGAGCAAAAAAGAGAATTTATTGGTTCATAACCAACATTCAGGACTCAAGGACTTTAACTTGGTTGTCAGGTCTGTTTCAAGGTGTTGGTCTTTGTCTGTTGCCTTTGCTTTCTCTGTGATTAATTCTTAAAGTGGAAAGGCTTCCTTCATGTGGTGGTGAGGCAAGGGAGAATGCCTTTCTTCTGTTACTGGTCTACATAAGGGCCCATGGGTGGAATAGGACTCCATGTGGTTGTATATGTGCTGTGATTGGCACGCCCACAAAACCATGTGGAATGAGGTTTTCCAACGGAAGGTTTTGCTATTATCACAGAAGAAGGGGTCCTGGGAGTCAAAAACAATAGTTATTTATAACAGGCGATGAGGAATAGAGGACAGGAAGGCATAAACTATTCTTTAAGGTTATAAAAGAATTTTATTTTCCTAATCATTGATTTTTATAGAGTATGCAAGCTGCGAGATGTCCTACAGATGAATTATCTTTAACCAACTGTGCAGTTGTGAATGAAAAAGATTTCCAGTCTGGCCAGTGAGTATCTCTAACTTTGTTTTCCTTCTGACCTGCTAGATGGTATTTTAGAAAGTTCTAGAGAGCCCTTATTTTTAAGTAAACTTGAGAATAATTTTTTATTCCTCTTGTTGAGTTAGAAAATGGAAGAGATGAGAGTTACCTATTTCAGCCTTTACTGTGTTAACTTGCATAACTATAATGTTTTTAAAATCATACATTGCTTTTTATAACTAAACATACTGGTCTTGTGAATCATACATAGCATTGTCATTAGGTTTTTGGCTCTGGAGTCAGGTTGTCTGAGTTTGGATTCTGGCTCTGCCAATTATGAACTTGGTGACCATGGGCAAGTTACCATCTCTGTATCTCTGTGTCCCAGTCTGTAAAGTGGGGATGATGATAATATCTTTTTCAGGGTAGTTGTAAAGATTGAGTTATACAAGTAAAGCACTTAGAACAGTGCCTAGCCCATTAATAAGTCCTCAATAAATATTAGCCATTTTGATTATTGCTGATAAGATAATCTAAAAGGCATGAAAATTGGAAGATGCACAACAAATATGGAATCTTTACAAGCATTTTTCGTTATTTATTTGAACTGATTCATGTCACCCACTGCCAGAACTTCTAAAGGCCCTGCTAACCAAGTTCACTGCCATCCATATGCTTCTGAGGTTGGTAGAGGTAAGGAAATGAAGGGGCTGTACCAGAAGGCAGACTAGGGAGATTAGAAACAATGAAGCAGGATTTTAACTGAGCCTTTTTTTGTTTTCTGTTTTTTTAGGCTTTCTGTGAAATACATGAGTTTCACGGAGTTAGAATTGGTAATAATCTGTGGGTTTCAGCTTCAGAGTAAGGGGCTGTACTGCATGATTGTATTAATATTGTTTTCAGTGCTAAAGTCCTAAAAATTCTATGATGCTAAGTTGAACACAGAACTTTCCACATATAAACTGGAGTATGGATAATCAGTGTGAGGATTTGTTTATGGAATTCTTTTACATATGTCAAATGTTCACCATGCTCATGATGGGGTTACTTAAAATATAGTTAGTAGCTATAAGGAACTTGTGTTCTAGTGGCAAACTGATGTATATAGAAACATTAACCATTAATATTAAAAATTATAGCATTCTAAAAGATTATTTAAAAAAAGATAGTGTGTAACATTTTGAAGTTTCTATCTCATACACAGTTCTTGTTAGTTTCTTGGTGTAAGAGATTATCATGAAATGACTATATTTTATTTGTTTATGGGTAACTTCTGAGCAAGGTGAATTAGCAGAAAATGCTTCGAAATAGGAGATATTGATATCTATACGAAAGCTGATATATTTGGTGAAAAAAATTCTTTTTACCATCTTTTTAGTTTTACAGGTTGTTAACTATTTCAACCTGTTGTGAGAGTCTGCAAAGAGATTTAAACACTCGTCCTAAAAACTAACTTTTTTTTTTACTGTCATATCCTGATTCTCTGTCTTTGGTTCTCCTCCCTTTATTCTATTTGGAGGTGAAATAATTTTCAAGAGAGGAAATTCATCTAGTTTTTACTTAATATTAAGGACTCTAATCACTGTCATCAGTTTTACGTAAACTGGAAATATAATGAATTTGGTTTGGGATGGTATGTACTCTCTTGAACCTGGCCCTCATTCTGCTTGATGAGTGTTTCGCCCAAGGTGCTCCCTATGCCTGGAAGACATTTTGAATTGCTGACACTTTTTGGAAATGAAATTTGTGCTCCTAGTCCTTCAGGACTCGCATGTAATGCCATTTTTCCACTTGGTACTCATCAAGTCTCAGTTGTTGGAAATGAACACATTTGGAAATGGTATCCTACATCTCCTTTGACATGGAGTACTGACTATGTTTCTGTCTTTTAGGCATGTGATTGTGAGGACCTCTCCCAACCACAGGTACATATTTACACTGAGGACCCATCCATCAGTGGTTCCAGGGAGCATTGCATTCAGCTTACCTCAGGTAACTCAGATATTAATTTATTCTCTTCTATTCTTAAAAGTTATAGAAGAAGCAATCCATTTAAAGCAAGCATCAGTCACCCTGTAACTGCATTGATCCAAACTGAAGAAAAACACCTCGGTAATATACAGGGAATTTAAAGATATATCCTTAATTGCCAATTTTACTGTGTCTGCCTTTTATTGCCTTGATTTTTTTTCTAATTTTTAAAAATTCTGCAGTAATATCAGTTAGCTACCAGATAAGGTGTTATTTTATGGTAACAGAGAAGATATAAAAATAACATTTACTTGTAAAATTGACATCTGTTAATAATGCAGTGATGTCGGACTAAAGAATATGACATGAATAATTGTTATCTCAAATTACGACCAATCTTCCTGGGCTCCAGTAAAGACTGGATGGTGATCACATTTGTAACCATTGATGGATTCTTCAGAGGGAAAATTGCCAGCACTGCTTCAGGCACATAATACATAATCTAGGAGCACTACAAGTATTCTCTGTGCTCTTTTCTCCCTTATCATCTTGCACATGCTGCTGATCCTACAGTCTTAAGCATTGTAAATACTACCCCTACTTCCTGCTAGTATACTAACAAGCATTGATTTACTCCCCTGGAGGTTTAGGGAAAGAGATCAAACACTTGTTTGGGGAACTATTAAATACCTCTTGAAGCTCGCAGAAATTATGGGAAATCTTCACTCACTATTCCCTTTTTCTGTGGATGCATTTCCATTTTCAGGACTACTTTTCACATTTGTCTCTATAGACCAAAGGTTTGGGGTATTCCAGGGTTTGCCAGCTTTCACAGAGCTCCATTTGGGAGTCTGGTGGTCAGAAATGGGGTTTCTGACTATTTCTCCTTGTCTTTCTGCTATTAAAACAATTTCCCTAACATATAGGCCAGATACAATTCTAAGTAACTTTTGCATGTATTTGCTCATTTACTTCTTAAAACAACCCCATACCATAGATACTATTATTATCATCCTTTGAGGCTGTCTTTGGAATTGAAGCGCAGAACCTAAATGTAGCTTCTCTGTGACCCCAAGTCTGGGCTTAGTATGCCGCTAAATTTCAGGTTGGCAGTGCATGGGATGGGATATTACAGCAGAGGGGTGTCAAGGGCAGAGAGGAGGAAGTGACCTATGATGAGAAAGTTGGAAGGGAGAGCACTTAATGTTGCACATATTCACAATTCAGCATCTTAGCTATTCACCTCAAAACCCACAATGTTCAAATGAGGAGACAAACTTGATTTTCGACCAAAATTATTTTTCTCTGTTCTTTGGAGTGGTGTAGTGATTACTAATTTTGAATCTAGACCAAGTCAGTCCCGAATTCCCGCCTAAGTACAATCTGGCTGCCTCCATACATTATTGCCATTGTAACTAGTCACGACCTGGGGAGAAGCTGACATCTGGCTGCAAATGCCCACAGATCCTTTGGCTAATACACAAAGACTAGTTGTAACCATCTAATGATTTGAATCTCTGCTTGGGTTTCAGTATACGTTGTCTGGCCAGTTTTAATTTGGTTTTTTATGAACTGAATGTCTTTCTTTTTGTGATGCTGTAATAAACACTGTAACCACAGTACATTTAGAATACTGAAATATCCCTTCAGTAGTGTTATATTATGCAAATGAGCATCTACTCACTGATGTCAGCTTTACTGTAAAAAGGCAAGCTTTGTATGTTTTGGGATGGAGCTTCAGATATAAACTGTAGCGCATAAATTTCCTAGACTGTTGTAACAAGTTAGTACCACAAACTGGGTGGCTTAAAACAACGGAAATTTCTTCTCACAGTTCTGAAGGCTGGAAGTCTGAAATCAGGGTGTCAGCAGTGCCACGCTTTCTCCAAAGGCCCTAGGGAAAAAGCAGTCCCATGCTTAGCTTCTGGTTGTGGCTGACAATCCTTGTTGTTCTTTGGTAGATGTATCACTTCAGTTTCTGCCTCCTTTGTCACATGACTTTCTTCCCATGTGTTTATGCATCTTCTCTTCTTATAAGGACACCAATCATGTTGGTGTAGGACCCACCCTAATTTGATTCTACCTCATCTTAACATGCTTCCATATGCAAAAATCTTATTCCCAAATACAGTCACATTCACAGGTGCCAGGGCGAAGACTCCAACATGTCTTTTTGGGACACAATTCAACATATCAGAGCATACCATGTTTTGGTCTTTGAATGTGTTCCTGAAATTCAGAGAAATTCTTCTTTTCCTCATTTATCTAATTTTGATTGATTTGGCTTTAAATGTCTTTTCTCTCTCTTATTTTACAGCGAAAATGGGCTGGACTTTCTATTGGGCAAGAAATAGAAGGTAGGTAAATATTTAGCTACCTGAGGGAGATCTTCTCTATGATTTTCTCATAGTTAAATGGAGATCTGTACAATTCCCTGTCACTGGTTGCTAGGTCATTGCACATTCATCATAATCATATTACTGGTTAGATCTATGAGACTAGACAGTAAATAGTTATGGTACTTGTATCCTTACCTCTATCTGCCTATTTTGCCTGGAAATTACTGTCTAATGGGAAAAGAATATCCACATGTTCATAGCTCACAGAATATGTACAAGGTAAATATGTGCACAAGTATTACCATTAGGAGCTCTGTGTAAAAGTGCTAAGATAGAATGGGAGTGAATGAGTTGATTGGAGACTGGAAAATTAGCATAGAAATCTTTCTAGGCACCAGTGTTTGAACATAATTTTTTTGTTTTATGATGGTGACAATTTTGAGGAATACATTTATAAAATGAGTTGTTAGTCAAAGGGTACAAAGTTTCAGTTATATAAGATGAGTAATTTCTGGAGATTGAATGTATAGCATGGTGATTACAGTTAACAATACTATATTGTATACTTGAAGTTTGCTGAGAAGGTAAATATTGTGTCTCATCACACACATGAAAGAAAATGGTTTGGGTTCACTGAGAAGGAGGTATATTCTTTGTTATCAGGATGTAGTGATATATATCCACAACCTCTACTTTATTGATTATGCTGCTTAGATCTATATTCTTACTTATTTTTGGTCACTTGACCTGTCTTACATTGAGAGTGGTGTGTTAAAATCGTCTGTTATTAGTGTTTTTCTGTTTTCTGTTCATCTCCTATGCTTTTTACTTGACATAGTAGCTTCTGTTTTATTTGGCATGTAGATATTCATAACTGTTATATTTTTTATTGTAAATTGTGGCTTTTAGCTATATTATATAGTTATTGTAGTTATTATACTTGTTTAATGTATTTTTAGTTATACTTTGATAATCAGGATTTCTTATTGTTTTTAATTTGCTCATTGTTTCTTTGCCCACCTCTTTACTTTTAGCCTTTTTGATTTACTGTGTTTTAAGTGTGTCTGTTATATATAACAGAGTTGGGTTTTGCTTTAAGCTACTTGGAAAATCTTTTTCTTTTAAAAGATTTATTAAGCCCATTTAGTTATTGATATGACTGATATGTTTGATCTTAATTCTGTCATTTTATGTTTGAGTTGTTTCTCTATTTATATATGTCTTCTTTGCTATTTTAAAATTTTTATTTTTGTATTTAGGAATATTTATATTTTTGTTTTAGTGATTACTTTTGCATTTACACCTCTCATAGTGCCCTTAGTACCCCCACCTTCCTTTTCAAAAACCCTGTTCTGTCAGTTCTAAATGATATTCTTTGATTCTCATCTATTACCTACACAACAGCTAATGATCATCATATTCTACCTTCCCCTTTATCCCCCCTTTCTGTTAGTTACTTTCTTTCTACTTTGTCAGAGCATAATATTTGCATGCTGTTCTTCTACACAGGACCCCATTCTTATTTTAGTCTTAACTCTACAATTAAGTCTCTTAAATGATCATGCTCAGACCTTTTGCTAGTTTCTACTTGGTTGTATAAAAACACCTCTGTAGATTCCTCTAGGAAGTATATATATGTGGTGTTCCCAAAGTTCTTGTATATTTAAGCCTTTTTTTTTTTTTTTTTTTTTT